TCATGGTTTTGTTTACTATTATTCAGTTCAAGTCTATTTTCAAATTATCTTTCAAAAAGAACCTACAGAAGCTAAATTGATTTTTCTGAATTTTTCACGCACGAAATCACTTTATTCCCCTCTCCTACTTGAATAATGTGTTTTTTCTGGTATTAGAAATATAGAATCAAAATACTTTCAGATCTTCAAAGACATTTTCTCTTGGGATGTCGTGTCGCTATTAGAAATTTGCCACCGATATAGTCTGGTTCCATTCTGGAAGTCCCTCTTTCTTCTTGTGAAGCTATTAAATGTGTGTTGATTGTTCCTTAACTTTTGGAGTTCTTTCGTTTTGTGCAGAGAGTTTTCAAGTGCTTTAAATTTTCCTTCGGGCATGTTCCACCGCAGACTCCATTTCACTTAGGCACTGTGGTCTTCCTCCGTCCAGGGGGGCCTCTGCTCCCCTGGAGCCGCGCTCTGCTCTCCTCTTTCTTGCTCTCTTTGGGCAAAACCTGGAAGAGCCACTCAATGTCCATCCGCAGTCATCAATCAGCCATTTCATGAAATTTCTAATTTGATCAGCTTTCCAGGAACTGCAAATGTCACGCCATGTGCTTTCCCCTGTGAACTGCTTAGGGTGTCCCCATGGGACCACTGCCAGGGTGTTTCTTCCCTGAACCCCAGCTGGACTCAGAGCTGGGGGAGAAACTTCCTAAGTGCTGTCATTCAGCTATGTCAGGCCACCTTCCTGGTGCTGCTCTGTGACCCCCTGCTCCCTGGAACATGCCAGACCAAGAGAAGATGCTCATTCGGTCCCAACATTGCCGTGGTTACAGCAGCAGCCATGACAAGACACCTGTATTCCCGGGGACCTCAGGGGCACCCTACCACCAACAACCCCACCATCTACAAGTGAGCTTCACAGCCTGCGTAGCCTCCTTCCCATTACCTCTGGCTGGACTGAAGTTTAGACTTGGTGAGCCTCGGTGTAGGAAGCCTGGGCCCAGCAGGTGTGTCTGCTGTGTTCATCCAGCTTCACATCTGCTGCCCCAGGAGCCCCACACGCCTCCGTGACCCTCCCCCAGGAGCTCTGCTGGACGCCTGGACAGAGCTGAGGCTTTCTCTCAGGAGACCCTCACCCAGTTGCCTCTTCCTCCTGGAATGGTTTAGAGAAACCCTACATGTCTGTGGTGATGGTATATGTCACCCACCAAAACTCCAAGAGGGCATGAAGTGCCCAGAATGACCTTTCACACCAAGCCCTGGTGCATGTGTTTGTCCCTCTAATGAGGTGCATTTGGGCCAAGTCGTTTCCATACATCCCACCCATCTTTCCTGCAGTCTCCAGGCCACTTTAGTTGAGGTGCTACTGTCACACAATGCCTGAGTCAGGATGAGTTATCAAGGAGGAGGTTGCTTTCTGACAGCTCTGGAGGCTGGAAATTCAGAGTCGGGGCTCTGCACTCCGAGGGTCCTCCCCATCCCCTGGTGGGAGACAGGAAGAGGGAGGGAGGGTGTGTGTGTACAGACAGTGTGGGAGGAGAGCCCGAACACACAGCCTCACGCTCAGCCTCTCTGCATTTGTGTGGGCAGAGCCTTGTCTCCTAAACACCTCTCCTCAGGCCCCACCTCCGCACTGAAGTCCTGAACTGACAGAACTCACGGCTGGGCCCCAGGCAGCCCCGCAGGGAGCCCGTGCCTCACCCCTACCGTGTGAACGTGGAGTTTGAGGCTGGGGGAGGGATGCTGCCTTCCTAAGGAGCAAAGGCCGCAGGATGTGTGAGGTTTTGAAGTTCCTCGCTGAATTTTTTAAAGCAGTATCAAAGTTTAATACTCGGAAGCATGCAAATCTACTGCAAGCACCCTGTCTCCCTCAGCCCTGGGATATGTTTCCTCCTCTAGGACTGGAAGCAGAATTACCCTCTGGTGTGGGGAAACACATGTCTCCATGATTGACTGAAGCCGGCTCATAAAGTGGCTTGAAGATCAGCAGCCTTGCTGGCAGTGTGGAGACTCCTGCTGTCCATCATTCTCTCTTTTCCACAGAGCTCCTCCCGCCCGCACCCATCCGCATCTTTTCTGTGTCCCTCTCCAGGCGGGCGACCTGCCCGCCCCAGTCTCTCGGCTTCACCCACCTGCCATCGCAGGAGCCCGCCCTCCTGCATTCCCGCACGGCTGGCCATCCCACGCTGCTCAGCCCCACAGCTCCCTCTCCCAGCCGTGACTGCCTCTCCTTCATCCCTACCTTGTCCACACAGGCACAAACCCCTGCTGTGTCCACCCCCGGCCTGCGTACCCTTTCCATGCTAGCCCTCCGTCCCCACAGCCACCCACGGGCCACCCCATGAGGCTTCCTGCCCTCCCCATTGTGGATCCTCTCCCCCATTTGCTCTAGCGACACGGAACCACGCACCTTCCTGGGAGTTCCTCTACCCAGAATTTATCTCCCAGATGAGTAAGATGTGGTGTGTGTGTGGATCTCCACTTACTGTGTATTTGACCCTAGCAGCTCTGAGGGTCATTGGTGATGCATGAAAGAATGGCTGACCAACTCAAGTTCCATTAGCTGTAGGCTTGTGGGGTCCAATCCCTGAATAGTAGAAAGAGGTAGATGCAAGGTACCACTCCGGAAGTATGATATTCACTGTGACCTAAGGCTTGAGGGCCTGCTGGACTCCGTCCGGGGCTCGTGGACAGCTCCTCTCTCTGTCCGGTCGTCTACCAGGCAGCCTGTTACCCCATCATGCGGAAGGCAGTCCAGCCCTCCCCCCATCATTAGGCAACTCGTGTCATTATGGCTCCTGCTACTTTTTGTGTACACTGGTACTGGAACTTGAATTGAGGGCCTAACACTCTCCCTGAACTCTTTCACTCTACCACTTGAGCCATCCCTCCACTTCCAGATTTGGGAGGCTGATTCGAGATGAGGTTCTCATGAACATTTTTTCCCCGGGTTGGCTTTGGATCACGATCCTCCAATCTCAGCCTCCTGAGTAGCTAGGAACACAGACTTGAGCTACTGATGCCCAGATACACTATTAATGTGGATGTCTGTCCTCTGGATGAGAACTCAGTGCGGGTAAGACTTGCCTGACTGCCCCCTGTGCCCAGTGCCCACCCAGGCTGCTCCTGAGGCCATCAGGCAGACACTGAGAGTCTGCACTGCATTCAGACCCCACGTCCGGGAGTCCGATGTGTGTCAGGGATCAGGACGGCGGATGGAAGGACGGCCTCCGGGCTGATGCACACGTGAGCTGTGGCTCCAGGGTTGACATGGCAACAGTCCCAGAAATATCACCTCGGCCTCTGCTGAGGAGCAGCGCCACCGCTCCACCATCACCCGAAGACCCGGGCCTCTCTGAAGCACAGGTGCACTGCGGCCGTATGGATCGATCATTGCAGAGGCCAGTGTGCGGGGAAGGGCACGGCTGCTCCCGCAGAGCATCAGAGAGATGGAGAGAGGGCGGCCTGGAGAGGCCAGGCCCTGCCCTGAGCGGCACCGGAGACCGCCATGCTCCCTGGGCTGTGGCTGGTCACCTCAGCCTCAGTGGGTGGTGGGCACTGGGACAGAGTCATGTCTTCCCATCGTCCCTCCGTTCAGAGGTCTGTGAAAGGATCTCCAGCCTCACCACATTTGCTACCATTTGAGTTCCATATCGCAGAACCTAGTCAACAAGAGCTCCCGGAGCTAAGTCCTCTGGCAAGCAGACCCATTTTCATCTCCACGGGCCCCGGGGTCAGGACCAGGCCAAGCCCAGCCCAGCCAGAGCTGCCCTTGGCACAGTAGCAGACATCTTCATCATCAGTGGGGCCTGCTCCACTCAGAAAGGGCTTGCTGGACATCCAGGGGTGGTAGGCCATCCCTTGCTGGACATCCAGGGACTGCCCTGAGGGACGTCCCCCTGCTTCTTTGGCTTTGAACCCCACCCCATGGGGGAGTGGCTCACTGGCCTGACAGAGCCATGAGAAGCTATCATCGTGATTGGAAGAAGAGTCTGTGCTGCTGAACTCAGCAGTGGGAGGGAATAAATGCCACCTATTCCATCTCTAAGGGCAAAGCTAGGACTTGCCCCGTGGGACATGGACATTGGTGCTGCCCTGTCTCCCATGAGTCATCCTTCTGTGTCTGCTGAAGTCTGAGCTCCGACAAGTGTCTCTGGGTTCAGACGGTTGCCCTGGAACCTGGCACAAGAGCCATGGCCTCACCGCCCACCACCCCACCGTGAGCACATCTGGGCTCGGTGGTGGGCAGAGCTGGGAAGTCACCTCTTCTGGGGATGAAGCTGCAGACAGGGCCTGGAAACCTGTCCAGCGAGACCCTGGGACCCCCCGTTCTATTTCACCATGCATCCTGCAGGCATTCCCCGAGATGCAGAAGCGGGCTTCCCGCCCAGCGCCCGCCCACAGCCGCCTCCTCTTGGTGGACCCCCCTGACCTTTCCACGGCGGGGAGTTGGCACTCTTCAGAAGCCATCATGGCTGCGCTTACTCGGAGAATAATTTCCCCGAAGATCAGATAAAGCCCCATCTGCACAGTCCCGGCTGGGCTGTAACACGCAGATATCCCCCGGTCTGCTCAAAGTCAGCAAATCCCACAGATGGCGGTTAGATCAGGCGGCAGCCTCTGCTCTAAGCCCCTTATCACTTTGCATCTGCAGGGCTCCGGGAGCGTCTCTGCAGGAGCGTGGCGTCCTCTCTCCCTCTCCCACTTTCATCCGAGCCCAGCTCCTCCTGCTGAAGGTAGTCTGGCTCCTTTTCAAGCCATAACCCCCCGATGTTAGGTGCGAGAGATCTCACCTGACGGGGCTCACCGATCGCCACCTCGGCCCTCTGCTCAGGGGGTCGCCAGCCTCTCCCAGGGCACAGCTGCACTGGATGGTAACGCTGACCTTCTGTTCACGTCCTGGGGAAAGTCCTTCCACTTCCATGAGCAGGAGAAGAAAGTGTCTCAAAGTGGAAAAAGTGGCTGGGCCAGCATGATCGACATCATCCAGATAGGGTGGTGTGATCACAGGGGCATTGTCAGGACGGTGGTGTGATCACGGGGTCTTTGTGCTGGGACGGTGGTGTGATCACGGGGTCTGTGTGCTGGGATGGTGGTGTGATCACGGGGTCTGTGTGCCGGGATGGTGGTGTGATCACAGGCTCTGTGTGCCGGGATGATGGTGTGAACACAGAGTCTGTGTGCTGGGATGGTGGTGTGATCACAGGGTCTGTGTGCTGGAATGGTGGTGTGATCACAGGGTCTGTGTGCTGGGATGGTGGTGTGATCACAGGGTCTGTGTGCTGGGACGGTGGTGTGATCACAGGGTCTGTGTGCTGGGATGGTGGTGTGATCACGGGCTCTGTGTGCCGGGATGATGGTGTGAACACAGAGTCTGTGTGCTGGGATGGTGGTGTGATCACAGGGTCTGTGTGCTGGGATGGTGGTGTGATCACAGGGTCTGTGTGCTGGGATGGTGGTGTGATCACAGGGTCTGTGTGCCGGGATGGTGGTGTGATCATAGGGTCTGTGTGCTGGGATGGTGGTGTGATCACAGGGTCTGTGTGCCGGGATGGTGGTGTGATCACAGGCTCTGTGTGCCGGGATGATGGTGTGAACACAGAGTCTGTGTGCTGGGATGGTGGTGTGATCACAGGGTCTGTGTGCTGGGATGGTGGTGTGATCACAGGGTCTGTGTGCCGGGATGGTGGTGTGATCACAGGCTCTGTGTGCCGGGATGATGGTGTGAACACAGAGTCTGTGTGCTGGGATGGTGGTGTGATCACAGGGTCTGTGTGCTGGGATGGTGGTGTGATCACAGGGTCTGTGTGCCGGGATGGTGGTGTGATCACAGGCTCTGTGTGCCGGGATGATGGTGTGAACACAGAGTCTGTGTGCTGGGATGGTGGTGTGATCACAGGGTCTGTGTGCTGGGATGGTGGTGTGATCACAGGGTCTGTGTGCTGGGATGGTGGTGTGATCACAGGGTCTGTGTGCCGGGATGGTGGTGTGATCATAGGGTCTGTGTGCTGGGATGGTGGTGTGATCACAGGGTCTGTGTGCCGGGATGGTGGTGTGATCACAGGGTCTGTGTGCTGGGATGGTGGTGTGATCACTGGGTCTGTGTGCCAGGATGGTGGTGTGATCACAGGGTCTGTGTGCCGGGATGGTGGTGTGATCCCAGGGTCTGTGTGCTGGGATGGTGGTGTCATTACGGGGTCTGTGTTGCGGGATGATGGTGTGATCACAGGGTCTGTGTGCTGCGATGGTGGTGTGATCACAGGGTCTGTGTGCTGGGACGGTGGTGTGATCACGGGGTCTGTGTGCCGGGATGGTGGTGTGATCACAGGGTCTGTGTGCTGGGATGGTGGTGTCATCACGGGGTCTGTGTGCCGGGGATGATGGTGTGATCACAGGGTCTGTGTGCTACGATGGTGGTGTGATCACAGAGTCTGTGTGCTGGGATGGTGGTGTCATCACGGGGTCTGTGTGCCGGGGATGATGGTGTGATCACAGGGTCTGTGTGCTACGATGGTGGTGTGATCACAGAGTCTGTGTGCTGGGATGGTGGTGTGATCCCAGGGTCTGTGTGCTGGGATGGTGGTGTGATCACAGAGTCTGTGTGCTGGGATGGTGGTGTGATCACAGGGTCTGTATGCTGGGACGGTGGTGTGATCACAGGGTCTGTGTGCTGGGACAGTGGTGTGATCCCAGGGTCTGTGTGCTGGGATGGTGGTGTGATCACAGGGTCTGTGTGCTGGGACAGTGGTGTGATCACAGGGTCTGTGTGCTGCGATGGTGGTGTGATCACGGGCTCTGTGTGCTAGGACAGTGGTGTGATCACGGGGTCTGTGTGCCGGGATGGTGGTGTGATCACGGGGTCTGTGTGCTGGGATGGTGGTGTGCTCACAGGGTCTGTGTGCTGGGATGGTGGTGTGATCACAGGGTCTGTGTGCTGGGACGGTGGTGTGATCACGGGGTCTGTGTGCTGGGATGATGGTGTGATCACAGGGTCTGTGTGCCGGGATGGTGGTGTGATCACGGGGTCTGTGTGCTGGGATGGTGGTGTGATCACAGGGTCTGTGTGCCGGGATAGTGGTGTGATCACAGGGTCTGTGTGCCGGGACGGTGGTGTGATCACAGGGTCTGTGTGCTGGGACGGTGGTGTGATCACGGGGTCTGTGTGCTGGGACGGTGGTGTGATCACAGGGTCGTGTGATGTACTCGGGACTCTGCTCAGCATGCAAGTGTCTGTCCATGCTGGCACTCTACTACGTGGTCCTGAGTGGATGACGGAAACCACATCTGTGCCGTGATGGCATGTGAACGTCGTTACTGAAGCGGTCAGGGACAGTGAAGGACAGCGGCTGCACCGCTCTCCTGCGGAGCGGCGAGGACCTCGGCCTGTGCTCTCCCCCTCCCTCAGGGCCTGCTCCCTGTCCTCTCACAGGGCTCTGAAACACCTCTACACCGTCTGCACCCTCAGCCAGAGGGTCTGATGGAGCCTGATTATTTATGACTTCTTAAAATCATACACAGTACAAATACCCTTCGAGTTTGGAGGCCTGTGAATTTTAACTGATGCATAGTGATGTAAACCCAGGACTGTCAGGGCAGAGAACCGATCCATCATCCCGTAACACACCCTCCTCTGTGAACAGCAATTTGGATCCATTTCAAAGACGTTTTGTAGAAAGACGGAAGCCAGCCTCACAACTCATGGACTGGGACTGGGGTAGACCGGGATTCTGCACCAAGCTCTCAGAAGGCTGAGAGCGGCTTCTCCAGCTTGCCTACTCTGCAGATTCCGTGGGGCTTTCCCTGCCTTGGCTGAGAAACATCCCTTGTACAGATACATCATGGTGCGTGTGTCTGTCCAGCTCCTGAAAGTTATGAGGAATTAATAAAGTTGGTCATTAATACAGTTGAGATGCAAATCCCTTCTGGGTGTGGACTGAGTTTTCTCCTCAGGAGCAGGCCGCCGACCATGGAGTCAAGCCCACGTTGTGTTTGGTAAGCCAGGAAGCTGTCTGCGGTATGGGTTTTCCCTCTGCGGTCTCTGAGGGCCTGGGCTGTGTGGTCCCGAAGCCGCTCCAACCCTTGGTGTTGAGGATAGTGTTTTTTCTTTTGGCCATTCTAGTAGGTGAGTGGTTGTGTCTGACCCTAATTTTATTTTCCAGTTCAAAGACGGCACAGGGCAGGAAAGTGCTTCCAGGAGATACCCTTTCTGCCTGTTCTTTTTGATGACACGCCTAAGTCTTCTTGCTGTTTCTAAACCCGAACATTTATTTTCTTGCTGTTAATTTGTAAGGGTTTTAAAATACATTTTGGGACCTCAGAGTCAAAGCAGACACCCTGAAAACATTACAGGAAGGAAGAGGAGAAACCCTAGGGCTTCTTGGCATAGGTGGAAATTTTCTTAATAGAGACTCAGAAACACAACAAATCAAAGAAAAGTTGGACAAATGGGATTGCATGAAATTGCAGAGCTTCTGCCTAGCAAAGGACATAGCTAGCAAGATCAATAGAAACCCCACGGATTGGGAGAAGAGCTTCACCAGCCATACAACAGACAAGGGTTTCATATCTAAAATATACCTGGAACTCAAAAAATTAAATCCCCCAACAACAAATATTCAAAGAAACAACTGCCCAATAAATAAGTGGGCTAAAGACTTAAAGAGAAACTTCTCTGAAGAGGAAAGAAGGATGGCCAATAGACACATGAAGAAATGCTCAACCTCCCTAGCCATAAAAGAAATGCAAATCAAAACAACACTGAGATTCCACCTCACCACAGTTAGAATGGCTATAATCAAGAACTCTAATAACAACAGATGCTGGAGGATGTGGACAGAAGGGAACCTTACTGCATTGTTGGTGGGAGTGTAAACTTGTTCAACCACTTTGGAAAGCAGTATGGAGCTTCCTCAAAAGACTCCACATAGAGCTCCCTTATGACCCAGCAATCCCACTTTTGGGCATTTACCCAAATGATCACAAACAAGACCATACTAAAGCTACCAGCACAACTATGCTTATTGCAGCATTATTTACTATAGCTAGATATGGAACCAACCCAGATGTCCCTCAGTAGATGAATGGATCAAGAAAATGTGGTATATATACACAATGGAATTCTATGCCTCCATCAGAAAGAATGACATTGCCCCATTTGTTAGGAAATGGAAAGGCTTGGAAAAAATTATATTAAGTGAAGTAAGCAGGCCCAAAGAAACATAGGTCCCGTGGTTTCCCTTAATTGAAATAACTAGTATATGTCTGAGTCAAGCAGAAAAGGTCAGATAAATTGATGTTAGGGGAATGAACCCCAAGATAAGTATTCAAATGTTTTTTTCTTTCATGCAATTGTTTCTAACATATTTATAAGATGATTTCTTTGTTCCTTTGTATGTCCCTCCCCCATGGTATAACCCTGTATTTGATGTTGGTATAATTTGAGAAGAGGAAGGGAAAAAACACATTGTTTAAATAGGGATACAGATGGACCCATTGCAACAATGAGATGTACAAGACATTATGTTGAAAAATGAACTTTACAACTTTGGTTGGGGGGGGCATATGGGAGGGCTGGGATAGTAAGGGGAAACAAAGGAGGAAGCAACAATGCTTGATGAGAAATATACTTATTACCTTACTCATGTAATTGTAACCCCTCTGTACGGTATTTTCACAATAAAAAATTTATTAATAAAAAAAGAAGAGGGGGCTGGGAAGGTGGTTAGAGCACTTGCCTTGCATGCCTGAGGCCCTGGGTTCGAGTCCTCAGCACCACATAAGCAAAAAGAAAAAAAGCCAGAAGTGGCGCTGTGACTCAAGTGGTAGAGCGCTAGCCTTGAGCTGAAGAGCTGAGGGACAGCGCCCAGGCCCAGAGTTCAGGCCCCACGACTGGACCCCCCCCCCAAAAAAAAAGGAAGAAAAAAAATACATTTTGGATACAAAGAGCTTCTCTGGATATGTGGTTTGCAAGTACAAACTGGCCTGCAACCTGTGCATTTGTTTTCTAAGGCTGCCCTCACCTAGCCCCACACATTGGACACTTCAAAAGATGATCAGACGTTTATTTATTATTTGTTGTTGCACGATTTGTGAAGCCTGAAGTCAGAGCCCGGGTGCGGGCGGGCTGGCCCATTTGAGGCTCTGGGGAGGTTGTAGACGCAATCTCAGTCGCGGGCATGGACCTGGCCACCGTTCCCCTGTGCACTCACACCGCTTCCTCTAGGCTGCATCCGTCCGTGTCAACATTCCCTCCTGAAGGACCCCGTGGGCGACCTCGCTGTCAGCAGTGACCTCTGCAGACACATCCCAGTCTAACGCACGCAGGGTTGGGACCTCAACGTGTGAATTTGGGGCACACAGTACAACCTGAAGCAGTGGCCTTGTGTTTGCGTAACAACGCCTCTTGCAGCAAAGCTTCGGCTATTTTAATGAAGTCTGAGTCAGCCTTAGGTTTTCTGGAACAAGTTGTGTTTGTGGTGTCTGAGGTCTAATGCTGGGATCAGGTCTCCTGGTGCTTTCCTGGTGCCCTGGTCCCAGGGAGTTTCACCCGAGCACCCTTTAGAGGGGCGGTGGAGGATTGCATGCAGGTCCATGTTGTGGTCTGACTCAGTCTTTGTGCGGGGTAACGCGGGGGGCCAGGCCACAGGAATGTCTCCCAAGTGTCCCTCAGGAATGGGCGATTGTTTCAACACCATTTGTTATAAAGATTAACACCACACGAGCATGTGTGCACACACTCACACACACACACACAATTCCTGAGCATTAGGAATGAATGATTCGAACTAAAACTTAATTCCATCTCCACTGAGCTGCTTCATGCTCATAAAAACCAAGGGCCATGCCTGGGTGGGTCCCTCCTTGGCCCCTCTGACCTGGTTTTTGTCTGCTCTTTGCCTGTCACCACCACACGGCCTTGATTATAGCAACTTCAAAGGTAAGTCCCATTCTCTGGTCCTGTAACCCCTGGTTTTCTTGTTTATTAAACCGCACTTCATTTGACATTTCACCTGGATTTGGGGATGATCCTGTGTGCGCTGAGAGACGTTCTGCGGGGCTTTGATGGGAGTGGCCGTGGTTCTGATCACATGGACAGCGCCACCTCTCCCGCTGTGGACCCCACGAGCCTCCGCCCCTTTCTGCGGCTGCTCTGCTTGTGCGGGTGTTTTCTGTGTGTGCACCACCTTGCACTCAGGTTCTGTTCATGTTCTGGTGTGTCTGTGTGATGGTGAGCTCCTGGGATGCATAACTTGTGTTCATCTTTGCATAGCTTTTAAATTTGTGTTTGTAGGCCATTTGTTCCCATGACACCCTACGTTAGTGTGTGTGCCCGTGTATGCGTGTGTGTGGTGTGCGT